CTCTCAAGATTAACAAACTTCTATAATCGATAGTTACGTTTTTTTTTTTTGCTGAAAAATAAATAGCTACCAGTTGCCGATTATATCTATCAATTCCCTCATGTGATGAAGTGTTTCGAAACTTATTTCCGGCGGCCGGACCACACGCCAATTTGCACTAAGTTTCTACAATTACTTTGCACTAGACAGTTGACTACTACACAAGTATCTAATGTTTAATTGAAAAAGATGACTCACTGTTCCTATCTAAATTCTGCTATTCCTCGAGTGCTCTATACGTTTGTCTGATTTTATGACTACTGTATTCATAAAAGTGTGTGGAACGACTAATATTGCCAGTGACCCAATCACCAGCCGTACTTGCTGTCTGGGTCCCGCATCAATCAGAGCTGATTCGGCATAGCGTGGGCTGACAAACTGCGCCGATAAAGATTCGTGATGACGCAAATTTGCGGACATATTAGATGGTATGGAGTACGAGCGGCGTTGTTACACCCACCGCTAAAAAAACAACAAAGACCACATTGCTTGATACGTAATAGTATAGATATCACAAATCACTCTGTACGACTCATACCTGATTCAAAGAGTTTCCTTGCAGGACCAGCAAGATGCTGATCCTGCAAGCGAAGTCTTTCCTTAGTGAATGGATGTCACAAAAAGCCACTATTTCCCCTCCTTCTTCCCCTTAGAACTAGAAGTCAACTCGACATTGATGCGATTTGGGTATAAACTTATCGTCAAACCAAAATTAAAGTCGAACTTCAACAAAATCACCTCTTTTCCCGCACTCATCCAGTGTGATTTAGTCGCAACGCGCTGAAGTCTCCGATGCACTGCGAGTGTTCCTCATCAGCGTATGCGATAGCCTTACGGATTCAGAAGAAGTTCAACGGGTAGGCATTTTTAACTTTTTATCTTCTTATGTATGGAACATGTTTTAATGCATCGCAAAAAAGGAATTGGTGGATAGAAGGTCAGGGGACAAAAAATTGCAAAATTTGGTTTTTGAGCTTAGGCGAGAACTGGTCCTCAGCCTATATCACTATGTGGTACTTTGCTTGTTATCTTCATGTCCTTAATCGGATGTGAACATAATGACAGTGCTTGAAACCTCAAGAACTATTAAAAACGCAAAACTTGGTCATCATTTAGTTGCGGTTTTGTGCACTTTTGTCAAAAAATGAATATATAAAATTCGTCATACAAAATAGGAAAACGCAGAATAGGCAACTCCTATGAAAATAGGGACCACTTCTCGTCCTACGAAATTTTTTAGTGATGAGATGAAGATGCAGCCAAAATGTTTTTTGTTAACATTAATATCAAGAAGTTTCAGTTATCCGAAGAATTTGGTGCATCACACGTTCCCTTCCGATCGTTCGGCTTTAAGCCAGATTTCTTTGCTTGTACCGCCGATGCTGTGACGACAGAATGCACTTTTCTTGATCAAGCAACACACACTCCTAGTGAAACGGCTGGCTCATGGTATGTGTTTAAATGTACTATAATGAGTGATAGGATATAAGAGCAGGATACTTGAGTGGAACAGCCGGAACGTGGTGTTTGAATTACGGGGCAACGCAGATTTTGAAAAATAGCCTTTAAGCGTTTTTAGGGGTTCGAGAGCTTCTAAAGAACTAAGTCGTACAATGTGCTTATTCCCAAGCGTGACTTTCCAAACACGAGGTAACCGCATCCGAGATAGATTTCCCAAAGATCCATCCGTGTAGTTATGGAACTTACCCCAATGCTATTACCCTTGCAAGAAAAAGGCAAAATTTGGGATATCTGGGCCATAATTTTGAATTTGCT